CCATGCTATCAGGAAGTTTTCATTCAGTAACTCTGGATTGCTTATTGTAATAGAACCTGTTTTTGCCTTTGAATGTTTTGAATGTTAAGTTTTATACTTGAATTTTTTGGCATTGTTGAGAGGTTTTATTTTGACTCTTTGCATTATTTAGCCTCTTCAGAGCCTTCATATGTTTTCAGTCTGTTAAAGATAGTATTACCAATAGCAGTACAATTTGCACAATGCCTGTTTTGTTTTGTTTTGTTTTTTTCTTGGAAAAAGTTATTAAAAACAAGTTTTTGTCTAATGCAACTGGTAGTGCTTATGATTAAGAAAAATAATAATTATGTGATCGGTATCGGTGATCGGCCCTCATGGGTGATCGGAATCCGCAAGAAAAAACCTGATCGACACATCTCTATTAAAATTCTAATAAAAGCCAGTTTGTCTACATAATGAAGAAAAATAAGAGTACAAGTGAAAAGGTCTGAAGTACATAAAACGAATTGAACTGATTAACTTTATTTCTCACAGGAGAAGCTTTGCTTCAGTACTTACCTCACCCATGGGCATGGGGTTAAATCCACATTGGTTACAAACTGTGGTCTTGCATTCAGTGCAGGTATTGTAATTTGGAGTCTGCTTGGAGCCGATGTTCATCTCACCCTTACACAGTGGACAGATAGTTGGCCCTCCATCTGAACATCTTGGAGAGACTGTTTCTCCATGTGGCTGTGATAGAGCTTTGTCTTCTTTCTTCAGCTGAGATTCCCCTGGTTTTGCAGAAAGAACCTTTGGCTCTCTAGCTGGTGACATTTTGGGAGAAACTGTAGGTGTACTTTTTGGTGAAATCTTTGGTGAGACAGACATCTTGCCAGAGAGTTGGGGTGGTGCAGACATCTTACGAGAACCAGGTGGTGTAGTTCGTGATTCAGCAGCCAATATCAGATTTGATGCCGAGCTGAAAATAGATGAACCAAATCCAAACATCTTTCCACCCAAAGATTCGGTTGTTTTTGAGGCCTCAGATACTGTTTTAGTATCTTTTGAGAGCGTTGTTTTTTCTGATTCCTCTTGAACATCTGGTTTCACCTTCATGTATTTTGGGTTACACTCACTTTCCTGGCCAGTCTGTCTCTGGGTACTTGTTACTCTTTGGTCAGTTGGAGGTGATTGACCAGTGCTTGGGCTAGGCTGTATTTTCACTTCTGGTTCTTTAGCAGCAGGTGGTACAACTGCATGCTGTGTTCTCTGAGGAGAAGCAGGTGTGGAGCTCCTCTCCTTTTTTGATGAATCAGTTAGTGGGGCTTCTATCTTTTTGTCAGACAATTCCTTCTTTAGACTTTCCTCTTGTTTAGGAGGTGGGATTTTCTGACGTACAGTTAATGATGAACCTTTGTTTGTTTCAGTCTCTGGTTTTATGGAAGGTCCGGTGACATCAGAGGCACTGAGAGCTCTTTGCATCTGGCAGTTCAAACATAGCCATTCTTTGACCTGGAGGGACAAAAACATAAACCAAAAGGACTTAAGTAAGAGTGACATTTTTTTTCATACAAGATGTTGAGTGAATCCCAGACCACATTTGTTTTTAAGACATAAACACATTTACAAAATATTAATTTTCTTACCTCTGACACATTTGGCATTGGGTTAAATCCACACTGGTTGCACACAGTGGTCTTGCATTCTGTGCATTTTTTGTAGTTGGGAGGATTTTTGGAAGCAATATTGAGTTCAGTCTTACATAGAGGACAGGTAGAGTGGTCAGTCTTTTGACTATCTGAAGATATTACTTTGGCTTGCAGCAATGGAGAGTGATTAGTTTGCTGAACTTGCTCTGGTTTCTTCTCTGAGTCAGATTTCTGAACTGGAATTGATTTGGTTCCCTTTGCTGCTGGAAGTTTGGGAGAAACTGGTGGTGTTTTTGATTCATCTTGTACTGCAGAGGTTATAAAATTGGAAGCAGAACTCAACATTGAAGAACCAAAGCCAAACATTTTTCCTTCAAGTGACTCAGTAGGTTTTCCAGCTTCTGGTTGAGGCTTGGAACCACCAGATTTTAAGGACCTCCCATCTTCCTCTTTTGTTGATGTAATACCACTCTTTTTATGTTCAGTTTGACTTGTCTGGTCTGATGGCTTATTGTAACCTGTCTTTTGGTCTTGTTCCAGAACTTTTTGACTGGCTTCTGGTATGACCTGTTTTCTTAATTCGGGTCCTTTCTTGACTTCGGCTTTTGCTGATTGCTCAACTGATTTTTGTGAGTTGTGCTGCGGGGAGCCTAATTCCTTAGAATTAGCAGGTAGTGAAATTTCTTTCTCTTGTAAGGGTGTTTCTTTCCTCATAGCATCAGCAGATGCAGGTGTTTTGTTTGGAGAGGCTCGTAATTTCATCACAGGTGTTCCTGGAGGCTCAGATGCTCCAAGTGCTCTTTGCACCTGGCAGTTGAGACATAACCACTCTTTGATCTACAATAGAACAAACATAATTAGACATTCAGATTGATTTTTCTAGAAAACAAAGGATTATAGTTTGTAATTATATGTTTATATAGCTTAGAATCCTCTTTTAATAAATATTTATTAAAAGACAGGTAGAGCTAAAAAAAAACAAAAAAAAAACATTTTTTTTTAGCAAATGTTTTCTTGCTACTTAAACTCCAGATCTTACCTCCTTTACATTTGGTGTGGGATTAAATCCGCATTGGTTACAGACAACGATTTTGCACTCTGTGCAGGTGCTGTAGTTTGGAGGGTCCTTGGTGCCCACATTCAGTTTTACTTTACAGAGAGGGCAGGTGGAATCAGATATTCTGGAAATAAGTGGTGAGGCTGATTCTTTCTTTGGCAGTTCCGAGGGAGGTTTATCTGCTTTTGGCTGCACTGGTGTGGGACCCGGGGTTTGCTGTACCTGCTGTGGCTTTTTCTCCTGCTCTTGCTTTTTGACTGCGAGAGATTTGGGATCCTTTGCAGGGGACAACTTCGGAGAAACAGGTGCTGCAGTTTTGGGATCATCTTGGACAGCTGAAGTAATCAAAGTTGAAGCAGAGCTAAAGATGGAGGTACCAAAACCAAACATTTTCCCAGTCACTGATTCCGCAGGTTTTGCTGCATCACTTTGACTTTTAGAAGCACTAAAACCAAAGAGGCCTCCAGACTCTTGCGTTGTGGCACTTCCAGTTTTTTGTGGAGGCTTGATGGTCTGGCCGGTTTGTTTCTGAGGATCTATCCTTTGGCTCTGCTGAGGTGTCTTCTGTCCAGGAACTTGGACAGCTTGCCTTTGGCTTACTGGTCCTTCAGTCTTGACTTGTTTTGCAGCTACTGTTGATTCTTTTTTCTGAGGAGAACCAGGAGCAGAAGTCCTTTCAGGTCCAGGTGATGTTCCAGTTGTCTTTTTAAATGAATCAGTCAAGAGTGTTTCTTTCTGTGGTTCAGTTCCTGCAGCAGCTCGTTTCACCTGGCAATTCAGACAAAGCCACTCCTTTTCCTTTAAGAAAACAAGAAAGAAAGTCAGATATGAATGAACTGCATCTAGCATAAGTTCCTCAGTTCATAAGTTCCTAAGTGACATTTTAAACACAATTCCACCCACACAGAAATCCCAAATATTATTGAATGAAAGGACTGTAATGACATAAACAACGATGAAACTGAATTTATGATCACTTTCTCATACAAAGATAATTAAGAAATAAACTATGTGGTAGAAGTTACCTTTTGAAATATATTTCATTTCAGAAAAAAATACTTTATTGTAAAAGTGGATTAAAACAGGTTAAAAATAACACAATAATCAATTTGCTTTATAAAGGGAAACTTCATCAGTTTGAACTCTTGTTCAACATGATATGATTTATGATGGTTGATACCCGTGGCAAGGATGTGTAAAACCTTAGCAAATACATCGGGAACCTTGTTACACATAATGGAATCATGATGTTTTTGTAATGCCGTGGGATTTTAAATAAAAGTCTGGTGATCTCTAATAGAAAAATGAATTTTTTTTCTAGTCTTTCCAAATAAATACAGCAATGTTTCAGTAGAAACAAAATCTGCCTTCTTTAATGGCAATCACAACCTCTAAAACTAAACTCTACTGAAAATCTATTGGGTGAGGTGAAGAGAAAATAACCTAGGAGAAGGACTCTTAAAGGTGAGGAGAGAAGTACAAAGAACAAAATTCAAATTTCCCTCTCTCTGTGTGTCCCAACCACGAATAAATGCACTGAAACCAATGTTTGGATTTTACAAAATATTTTTGTGTGAGGTTTTACTACATTAGGAAAGAATTATTTATTTTAAATTAATAAATACAAACAACAAATCCCCCTACAAACCTTTACAACTGGTACTAAAAATGTTAATTGTGTATATTGCTCAAGGGTTGCATTTTTTTTTCATATCATTTTTTTATTTCAGTTCTATTCAAAACCTACTTTATCCATGCTCTTAAACAATAAGATCATGTAGCCCTAGATTGTCCTTGGTAAGCTAGATAGTTACTGTGCATTGAGTTACAGCGTCCAGTGTCGGGTTCTATGTGCTTCAGGTAGCACCAAACTTGCCATTCTGTTTATCCATTCTGTATTTCCAAAATCTGTCTGTTTGCATATATGCAGAGTGTGCTTTGACATGGAAAGGTAAGCTAATTTGCAGTCAACATTGTTTATTGGCAAGGACAATCACCTGTTGTTTTAAATTATGGTAAAATATTCTCTGAATTCTGTATGTATTAGCTTTAGTCTCTCTCCAAAAACAAATGCAGCACAGACAAAATATTTTCTACACGACACAGGGTTGTATAAGAATAAGCGATACTTCTTGATTGAAAAACTGCTTTATCTCAGAAAGAAATAACTTTGCCCACGAAGCGATGAAGTTGTCTAGAAAAGAGCCTACGTGAAAATGTTAATTATTTGTTATACTATCAATTATTTTTCTTTCCAGATTTATTCAATGAATATTACAAGTCTTACCTCTTTTATATTTGGCATGGGGTTGAATCCACACTGATTGCAGACAGTGCTTTTGCATTCTGTGCAGCTGTTGAAGTTGGGAGGATCCTTTGAGCCCACATTGAGCACCATCTTACAAATCGGACAAATGGATTGGCCCTTGTCGATAGGATTGAGGGAGGCTGTCGCTGCCTTTGGAACCTCTGCAGAGGATTTTCCTGCTTTCTGCACTGCTGACTGAGTCTTTTTCTCCTGAGGTTGTTGCTGCTTTTTTTCTAGTTCTAACTTTTGGCCAGAAGCTGCCTTACTGTCCTTTGTGAGCTGCATTTTTGGAGAAACTGGTGGTGTGATTTTGGGTTCATCCTGAACAGCTGAGCCAATTAAGGTAGATGCAGAACTAAAAAGAGAGGAACCAAAACCAAACATCTTCCCAGTTACGGACTCATCTGGTTTTGCAGATTCACTTTTTGCACCACTACTAAAGCCAAATAAACCTCCAGATGCCTGCTGTGGAGCTGGAGAGACCCTGCCTTGCGTTTGGCCAGGTTGACCACTCAGATGCATTTTTGGAGAACCTGATGCTCGCTGAGTCTCTGGTGTCATTCTCTGAGCTTGACCTAAACTGGCACCTGGTTTTGGATTTTCTGGTCCTTTAGGAGGTTCATCACTAGCTGGCACTTTTGTTGGTTTAGACTGTAGTTTCGGTGATGAACCTGGTGCTGAAATGTCCTTTTTTGTAGGTTCACCAGGTGGTGGTTTCTGGTTTTGAGGACCAGACGGTCTTTTCTTAGGAGGTCCTGGTGGCTCTGAAGTTCCTTGAGCTCTTTGTATTTGGCAGTTTAGGCAAAGCCACTCATGCCCCTACATAATAGTTAAAAACACAAAGATACAGCTAAATTAGTACTTGAACGTAAAAAAAAATAAATAAATACAATTATACAATTAGATAAGATCTTTTATCAATTACTATTAATACAAATACACACACACACACACATATATATATATATATATATATGTGTGTGTGTGTGTATAATGAAGCCACTACTTACATCAGTGTCTGGAGGACTGAAGCCACATAAGCTGCACACCTCAGTTTTACACTGTGTGCAGGTTTTGTAGTTAGGTGATTCCTTGGTATGGATATTAAGTTCTGTTGTGTTACACACTGGACAAAGAGGTTTAGAAACTGCTTTTGACTGAGGTTTGGCTTTCGTTGATCCCAATGACGGAGATCCAACAGGTGTCACTTCAGGTGTGCCTGGGCACTTAATGTCTTGTTGTCTATCGGATATCTGATTTTTGCCCCCTTTCTGCTGTTGTCCTACCTTAGGTGAGTGCTGTTGTTGTCTAGTTTTTGGTGATGACTGCTGTTGTTGGCTTACTATCTCTGGCCCAGTCTTTGTGGGACCCTGTACCCCAGCCTTTAAAAGTTCTTGATTTTGTACACTACTCTTAGCAGGGTCCTGTTGTTCTTTCAACTTGGGTGGAACCTGTTTTGAAGATACCGGTTGTGCTCCATCCTTTTCTGGAACCTGATGTTGAACTCCAGGCTTTGGTGAACTCTGCTGGGGTGGATCTTTAGTTTGTTGTCCTGCAGGTTTGTTTGTTGGTGGAGCTGTCTGTCCATTGCCACGTAGCTGTGGTGATCCCTGTTTAGGGAGAGGCTGGGATTTTTGCATAAGGGGACCCTGGTTGGATTTTTGGGGTGCCTGTTCTTGTTGCGTGTTCTTTCCAGGGCCAGGTCCGGGTTGTGGTTCTCCTGACGCTTTCCTCCCCTGTTGAGGAGGTGACTTTTTATCCCCTTCCCCATCATCTCCGAACAAGCCAAACTTATTCACAGCAGAAGACATAGCATTCAGGGGATTCGCCCCACTGAGAAATTTGGAGGAGAACATGGCTGGGTCTGCTTCTTCTACTTTGTCCTCCTCCTCCTCCTCCTCACTGGAACTAGAGTCTATAAGGCTGTCAGAGTCAGAGCAGGAGCTGTCCCCTCTTTTACCCGGCTCTCCAGCAGAGGCCTGGGCTGGAGCCGCACCTGAGGAGAGGGCATCTACAGCCCTTCTGCTGCTGCTGCTACTGCTGCTGCTGCTTCCAGGGCTCTCCTCTGGCTCAGCATCTACATCAGACTTCCTAAATGCACAACAGAAAAGGACAAACGAAGTGTGAAATAACAACGAGCAAGATAGGGGGAGAGATTACAAAGTGCTTACGGACTTTTGAACCGCGCACACATCCGATGCTTTTTGAGCCAATTTGCTGCTATCAACCAAACAAAGAGGTTAATCATTTAAATTCAGTATGACAATCTATTTTTTGCACAGTGCATTTCAGCAACAAGACAGTTCAAAGTGCTTTGCATCATAAAATTTCAAAAGTAAAAGCTCATAAAAACAAAACAGTCACCAATTGAAGAACCAATGACAAACATTGCGTTTTGTCAAGTACCATCGTTAAAGTCATCAAAAGACATCAAATATGCTGATCAATGCTACAGTGATTATGGGTTGATAGCAAAGCTCAACAGGTGGGGTTTTTAGCCCTGATTTAAAGGAACTTTGTGTTTCGGCTGTTTTGCAGCTTTCTGGAAATTTGTTCCAGATTGGTGGTGCACAAAAGCAGAATGCTGCTTCTCCATGTTTGATTCTGGCTCTGGGGACACAGAGAATGTCAGGACCATAAGGCCTGAGTGATCTGGAAGGCTGGGACATATAGCCAAACTATATGTGATTGGAACATATAATAAACAAATTACTTAAATATTGTGGATTTTTGTTTTCTTGGGCAATCACAATAAACAGTGCGCTACATAATACATCATTCAGACAAAACATTATGACTGCTCTTATCTGCCAGGTCTGGTTTACCCAAATACCCTACAGGTACTTAAATTTATCACTTTTCTATCAGCATACTTCACTCCCTCAGCAATATCTACTGGATCAGACCACATGGGCCAGCCTGCACTTCCCATATGCGTCAGTGAGCTGATTTTTAATAAGTACCGACCCCTGCAGACAAGGAAAATCCCAATAGAGGTGCAGTTTTGAAGATGCTTTACCCCAGTCATTTTATCATCACAATTGGGTTCTTGTGAAGTTGGTTTAATTTTTTTAAGGATAAGCCAAATGTCCTGCTTCTAGATTGTTTTTACTGACTGACTGTATTCCACCTACTAACAGGTGCCTTTGTGATGAGAAAATCAGTGTTAACGTCGCTTGTCAATGGTCATAATGTGTTTGACGCCTTGAAAAAGAACATTTGAACTGAATAAATATTTTCTCCTTTTTGATATAAATACAATTATATCAAATGAACAAAATGTGCTTTCCATGCTTCAAATAGGATTTCTTCATAAAAAGAAAAAACAAAACAAAAAAAGAAAATAAAACCATTCCTAATAAATGTCCACTTTGATCCTCTCGATTCACTCTATCTTCTGCTGCTTTCAGCACCACGGACAGTGTTCGAGCCGCTCCGATGATCACGCGTGATCTCTTTCCTGCAATGTAATAAAGCAGCCCAACGTGCAGCGACGAAGGAGATCCTCAACCCGCTACAACTGGCTCTGCTGCTGCAGCCAGCACATATTCAGATTGGGCTGTTGATCCCCTTCCACAATGAAAGAGTCGCACCATCCCAGTGATGTTAGTCCAAGAGAGAGAAATCTTTTGCAGGGTATGTTTTATAGCAACAACACAGGGAAATACGGGGAAATCTAAGCGATTCTCTCTCTCTCTCTCTCTCTCTCTCTCTCTTTCTCTCTCTCTTTCTCTCTCTCTCTTTCTATGAAGAAACTGCAGGCACATCCGGGTAGGGAGCCACCAAATCATGTATCTTAGTAAATTCTTCTTTCTAAACACCCACTTCACTAAAAATGCGAAGCTTAAAGGGGGTGCAGGTCCGTGCGGGGAAACGACCTCTCTAAGTGAGTGATTATATCTGCTTTTAGCATAACGTTATGACTGCTTTGCTCTGCCCACAAGCACCCATAGTCGGATCTGATGTTATCACAGCAGATGATCTGTGTGGAGAACACAGCATGACTGACACAAGACCTTTCTGAACGAGAATACATCCACGACAGGTCCAAGAGTGAGAAAAACACGTTACCACGTAATGTTTATTTATGTCAACGACCAGACACCTGTTCAAATCGACAAATAATCTAAATGGTCCTACTATGTGGGGACATTTTAAGCCAGTTTAAAACAACCAAGCGAATCCCTTGTCATCGTTTTAATTTCACCACACACCATCTGGTATCCGCGCCGTGTTCTCTCCCCCCCCCCCCCCCCCCCCCCCCCC